CCAGTGTGAATCATCATGTGTGATCGAAGGCTTGAGTGATCTCTAAAGGCTTTCCCACATTCCTTACATTCATAGGGTTTCTCTCCAGTATGAATTCTTTCATGAACTCGAAGAGAACTGGAAAAAGTGAATGCTTTACTGCATTTTTTACATACATAGGGTTTCTCTCCTGTATGAATTCTTTCATGTACTCGAAGAGACCTGGTACAACTGAATGCTTTACTGCATTCTTTACATTCATATGGTTTCTCTCCAGTGTGACTTCTTTCATGTACTTGAAATGCACTGGGAGAAATAAATGCTTTCTCACATGCCTTACATTTGTAAGGTCCATCTCCAGTGTGAAAGACCATGTGTGATCGAAGGCTTGAGGGAGTTATAAACGCTTTCCCACATTCCTTACATTCATACGGTTTCTCTCCAGTATGAGTTCTTTCATGTACTTGAAGAGAACTGGGATAAGAGAACGCTTTACTGCACTTTTTACATTCATAGGGTTTCTCTCTAGTGTGATTTCTTTCATGTCTTCGAAGAGAAGTGGAAGAAATGAATGCTTTATTGCACTTTTTACATTCATAGAATTTCTCTCTAGTGTGATTTCTTTCATGTATTTGGAAAAGACAAAGAGAAATAAAAGCCTTACCACATTCCTTACATACAAAGGATGTCCCTCCTTTGTGAGTTCTTTTGTGGTTTTTTAAGTTAGTGTGCAAACTAAAGGCTTTCCCACATTCTTTACATTCATAAGGTTTCTCACCAGTGTGACTCCTTTCATGTATTTGAAATGAACTAGGATGAATGAAAACTTTTCCACATTCCTTACATTTATAAGGTCCATCTCCAGTGTGAGTGATCATGTGTACTCGAAAGGTTGTGAGAGCAATAAAGGCTTTCCCACATTCCTTACATTTATAGGGCTTCTTTCCAGTGTGACGTCTTTCATGCATTTGAAGAGTACGGGGATGACTGAATGATTTACCACAATTTTTACATTCATAGGGTTTCTCTCCAGTGTGACACCTTTCATGAATTCTAAGTGCACTGGGAAAAATGAATACTTTCTTACATTCCTTACATTTATAAGGTCCATCTCCAGTGTGAAAGATCATGTGTGATCGAAGACTCGAGTGAGCAGTAAAGGTTTTCCCACATTGCTTACATTCATAGGGTTTCTCTCCAGTATGAATTCTTTCATGTACTCGAAGAGAACTGGAAAAAGCAAATGCTTTACTGCATTTTTTACATTCATAGGGTTTCTCTCCAGTATGAATTCTTTCATGTATTCGAAGATACCTGGAAGAAGTGAATGCTTTACTGCATTTTTTACATTCATAAGGTTTCTCTCCAGTATGAGTTCTTTCATGTATTCGAAGAAAACTGGGAAAAGGGAAGGCTTTCCCACATTCTTTACATTTATGTGGCTTCTCTCCATATTTTTGATAGTGAAATGGTTTGTGTTCAGTGTGACATCTAATATGCCTATTAAGGGATGAATGGTGCATGAAGACTTTTCCACATGCACTGCATTTACATGGTTTTGCTCTGGTAGTTTTCTTGTTCATATTGAGATTTGGAATAAAGCTGAAGTTTTCTCCACATCGACTACCCTCTTCACTTTCACAAAGTCTCAATTCCATATGACCTCTGTAAAAAATGAGAAGCACATTATAAATGATTTCTTTATTAATTATTTTATATTTGTTATATTTATTATAATTTATAGGAAAAGTTTAGATTTTCTGCCTTATCTGAATTCTCAGAAACTGAATATACTGAATTATCTGTAAGAGGTCTTCACCACTGCTATTATCCAAACAGTGATATTTATACATAGGGTCTATTAAAACTGTTTCCAAGTGAACTATTTTGTAAATCTGAACGTCTACACCACATTTCAGAAAGATATTTGGTGAAAAGTTTCTAAGAATAACTAACTTTGAACCAAAGGTTTTTTGTTTTGTTTCCTTCTTTTTAAAATATCACAACATACCAGGATTGTCATGTTAGACTGCTTTCTATTGTGAGTGTGACTCACCTTAGTCTTCTCCCCTGGTTTTTGTACTGATCTTCAGTATCATGATCTTCCCATGCTTTTCCTGAAATGCAGACCCAGAAAGTTGATTCCAAAGTACTGGACACTATAGAAAAAAATGTCGATTCTAAGCCCATGATGAATTGTCACCATTTCTAGCTTATTTACCAACATCTCTCTTTTCCACATTTTACTTCTTGGAACCATGGTGATGGATAAGAAACACTTGTTCTCTAATTGGTGAAGTGAAGTAATGTCTCATTCTTACCTATTGAGGCCAGGTTCCTGAAGGTTTCCGACATCACATCTCTGTAGAGTTTCTTCTGTGAAGGATCCAGTAAAGCCCACTCCTCCAGGGTGAAGTTCACAGCCACATCCTCAATGGCCAGTGAATCCTAAAATATCACAAATATGTGTAGAGTAGGATGCATAAGACTGATAGCACTGGGGATCTATTTGTAGGAAGATTACAAATAGTAAGGTTACATAGCAATCTGTCGTCTCCAAACATGTGTTTTATGATGTAATCATCAAAAATCAATCACTGTTTTTCTGTACACACTTCCTCATTAACAGAATCATGAACACATGGAAATTATTTACACATTTTTACTGTGATCACATTTCATCATATTTCTCTGTACTAGCATGGTCAAGAGCATGTTGGAAAATGAGAAGTGCCATACAATGGAACAAATATTATCATTATGAGACTAAAAAACAAAAAATGCAGAGTATAATATGCATGAAGCCTAGGACAACTCTCTTTAACAGAAGGTTTAAAATACACAAAATGGGAATACTTAGGGGAAAAAAAAAACAGAATAATAGAAGAAACAAGTGAAGTAATAATCAGCAATATATCCTAACGTTAATGACAGCCAGCAAACTGCACATCCAGGAAGCTCAGAGAACACTAAACATAATAAGCTACAAAAGTGTACATCCAAGAATATCATATTCACACTAGGGAGAAATCAAAGACAGAGAACATATTGAAAAATGCCAGAGAAGAAACACACCTTAGGTATAAAGAAACACATATTCAAATTAAATTGGACTTCTTTTCAAAAACCATGCAACAAGAACAGAGTAGAGTCAAATATTTAAAGTGTTGAAAATGAAAAGCCACTCTCCTAGAATTCCGTCAAGCAAAATTATCCTTCAAAAAGGAAAGAAAACTAAGGACTTTCTGAGACAAAAATTGAGGACATTTATCATGAGTACACCTACTTTGAATGAAATGTTCAAAAATTTAGCAGAAAGAACGTAAATGATAAAGGTAGAGGATTAGAATAGAAAAAAATAAAGGTAAATATCTTTTATATATATATAATTAATATAACAGATGACACTTTGCTTAAAATAATACTAGCAACAATATATTTGGTAATGAGAAGCTATGGACAAGTGAAATCAATGACAGCAATGTGACAAGGGACAGAGATGGGAAATTGGGAATAGTGTGTTATGAAGTATTTGCATGCAGTGAAGTGGTATAGTGTTATATGCCAAAAAGGTGTGTTAGTTATAAATGTATACTGAAAACTCAACAGAAACAACTAAAACAGTTTTTTTTTAAAGTGTAATTGATATGCTAGAAGGGAAAAAGAATCAAATAAAATGCTCAATTTCAGCCAGAGAATGTGGAACAAAAATGGAAGACAAAAAGAAACAAGAGTAAGATATTAAAAAACAGTAAGCAAGATGCTAAATATTAATCCAGCTGCATCAATAACCTCTATAATCATAAATGGTGTCAATACAATTGAAAGATATAGTAATATGAGATTTGTAAAAGACAGTTATACACTGTCTATAAGAAACCCACCTTAAATATAAAGATTGATGAAGTATAAAGGGATGGAGAAAAATGTCCGATGTGAACACAGATCAAAAGAAAGCTGGCATAGGTATATGAATTATAGACAATGCAAATTTCAAAACAAGGAAAATTCAGAGATAGAGAGGAAATTACATACTGATAAAGGTGTCTCCAGAAGAGCATAGCAATCCTTCATGTGTATGTGCGTAACAACAGAGGGGCAAAATACATACGGCAAGAGCCAACAGAATCCAAGTAGAAATAGATGAATTCAGTTCAATAGTTGTGAATTCAAAACCCTCTTATCATGAATTATAAATTCCAGTAGGAAGAAAATGAGGCAGGACAGAGGTGAACTGAATAGCACTCTGAAACAACTGGATTTCACTGTAATTTATGGAATACTTCATACAAAAACAGCAGAATATACATTCTTCGCAAGTTCTCATGGAACAGTCACCAAGACAAACCACATTCTGGGAAGAAAAGCACACCTTAACAAATTTGAAAGAACAGAAATGATGCAAAATATGCTCTCATACCACCTAGGCATTCACATAGAGGTCAATAATAGTAAGATAGATGGAGAACCCCCAAATATGTGGAAATTCAACAATACATTTCTAAATAAAACATAACATCAATGAAAAAGTCTCAAGAGTAATGAAAAATTATTTTGAACTAAATGAAATGAAAACACAAGAAACCAAAAGTTCTTGGATACAGAAAAAGCAGTGCCTAGAGGGAAACATAGGCCATTGAACAAATACACTGAAAAAAGCAAAGATCTATAATCAATAATGTAAGCATCTCCCTTAGGAAACAATAAAGGAAGAGTAAACTAAATCCTAAGTAAGCAAAATAAAAGAAATTATAAAAACTAGACAAGAGGGCCGGCACCGTGGCTTAGCGGTTGAGTGTGCATGCTCCGTTGCTGGCGGCCTGGGTTCGGATCCCGGGCACGTACCGACGCACAGCTTCTCCGGCCATGCTGGGGCCACGTCCCATGTGCAGCAGCTAGAGGGATGTGCGGCTGTGACATGCAACTATCTGCTGGGGCTTTGGGGGAAAAAATAAATAAATAAATAAAATTATGGAAAAAAAAACCCCTAGAAATCAATGTCATTGTGGCAAATAAAGGGAGAAAATTAAAACAAAAATCGGATTCTTTGATAAGACTAATAAAATTGATAAACATCTAGTCAAGATAAAGAAAAGACGGAAGACAGATATTACTAATATAAAAAAGGAAAGGATGGAGAAATGAAAATAAAAAAGGATTTGATATAATCCAACATCCATTTATGACAGACTAGTAATAGAGGGGAAGTTCCACTTCTTGAGATAGACCATCTTTACAAATCCTGTAGCTAAATTGATAACGTTTGTTTTATATGGCACAATTGTCTCTGTGAAATATCTGAAAGAATTCACAACAGAAAAATTCTTGGAATTAATAAGAGAGTACAGCAAGATTGAAGGATACATGAGTCAATTGCTTTCCTTACAGACCCACACAAATATAGTCAAATGATCTTTGACAAAGAAGGAAAGACAATTCAAATGAAAAAGAGAGTCTTTTAAACAAACAGTATGGAAATAATGGATATCCACATGCAAACACACACACACAAAACAGATGTAGACATAGACCTTACACTTTTCACAAAAATTAACTCAAAACACATCACAGATATAAATGAAAAATGCCAAAGGAATAAAATTCTAGAAGACAACATAGGAGAAAATCTATATGACATTGGGTTTGCAGATGAATTTTTAGATACAAAACCAAAAAGCAAGGTCCACAAAAAAAATATATATATATATTTTACTTCATTAAAATGAAAAAATCCTGCTCTGAGAAAGACAGTCTGTTAAAAGAAAAAAACCATAATTTACAGAGTAAGAAAAAATCTTTGTAAAACACTTATCTGATAAATAAGTGGTATCAAAAATATCCAAAGAGGGCCGGCCCTGTGGCTTAGCGGTTAAGTGCACGCACTCCGCTGCTGGCAGCCCGGGGTTCGGACCCCGGGTGCGCACCGATGCACCACTTCTCTGGCCATGCTGAGGCCGCGTCCCACATAGAGCAATTGGAGGATGTGCAGCTATGACATACAACTATCTACTGGGGCTTTGGGGGAAAAAAATAAATCAATAAAAAAATTAAAAAAAAATATCCAAAGAACTCGTAAAACTCAACAGTCAAAAGACAAACAACCCAATTAGAAAAGAGGCAAAAGATCTGAACAGACAGCTCACTGAAGATGATATACATCTGTAGATGGGACATAAGCAATATGAAAACATGCTTCACATCAAATGTCATTGGGAAATTGCAAATAAAACAACAGTGAGGTATCATTAAACATTTATTTATTTATTTTTTTGTGAGGGAGATCAGCCCTGAGCTAACATCAGTGCTAATCCTCTTTTTGCTGAGGAAGACCGGCCCTGAGCTAACATCTATTGCTAATCCTCCTCCTTTTTTTGCCCCCAAAGCCCCAGTAGATAGTTGTATGTCATAGCTGCACATCCTTCTAGTTGCTGTACGTGGGACGCCGCCTCAGCATGGCCGGAGAAGCGGTGCGTCGGTGCGCGCCTGGATCCAAACCCGGGCCGCCAGCAGCGGAACGCGTGCACTTAACCGCTAAGCCAAGGAGTCGGCCCGGCAAGGCAGATTTTTAAACAAGATGTCCTTCAAGTGTTGAACAGACAATCAATGGTGTATCCATACAGTGAAATACTGTTCAGTGATAAAAGGAAATGAGATATCAAGTCATGAAAACACATGGAGGAACTTTAAAAGTATATTGCTAAATAAAGAAGGCAATGTGACAAGGTTACATAGTGTATGATTCCAAATATATGACATTCTGGAAAAGACAAAAGCATGAGCCAGTAGAAAGATCTTTGGTTGTGAAGAACTTGGGGGTGGAGGGAGGGATGAATCAATAGGTGGAGCACAGAGGATTTTTAGGGAAGTGAAACCACACTCTACGATACAGAAATAATGGATCCATGTTATTATACAATTACAAAAACTCATACATTGTACAACACAGAGTCAATGCTAATGTACACTGTGATGCATCAATATGGGTTTGGAAATTGTAAAAAAATGTACAGCAGTAACACAAATTGTGAAAAATAGTGCAAACTGTGTGGAGGCAGAGAGAAGGGTCATCTGGAAAGTATGTAAATTCTGATCAATTTTTCTGTAAACCGAAAACTACTCTAAGAGAAACTGAAGTCTTTCAAAAAAAACATGAAGACAGACTCATTACAATTCACCCCTGATGACTGAAACAGAACATCTCTCATCCAACTGATTTCAATAAGCCACTATGGTGCTCTATGAGCCTGAGACCATAAAGCAGGTGAAACTTCCACCGAATGCCTTGTTGGAGAGCAGGGCACTGTATACTCTGAGAGGTGCCACGGTTACTATCAGTAGTGTCAGAACTCCAAGGTGGATAACGAGTGTCCTGGTGAGTCCCTGTATTGTAGACCTAGTATACACAAGTACACACAGTGTTACATTGATTCCTATTTTGATTATTTCTG